AGTGATGCTGATGTTGCTACTGCTGCTGATTCCTCTCAGTGAAAATGTGAGGAAACACTTCTTATTCTTGTAAGAGGTAACACAATTCTTTTCTCTTAATAGTTCCTGAGTATTCTTCTTAATCTCTTTTGAGCCGATAACTGCTCCTGCTGTTCCAGAATGTCTTTATTCACCCTCCAGGGATGAAATGTCACAGCCCTGTAGATCAAAAATACATCAGGTTTTTCCTCCTTCTTTTTCCTTTTCCATGCTACATTCTTCATCTTAGCCCTCTTTTGAATCTGGTTTTGGTTCCCTCTATCCTTTGGGAACTCAGCAGAACTTCCAACACCCCCTCTAGTTATCTGCAGCATGGACAGTGACCACCGTTGGGGAGAAAAGGTGTAGATCCACAGCTCGCTGTCTTTACGTTGTGAGTAACAAGATGAGCCATGATCCTGGGTACTCCCCCTGGAGACTGCTTATGTGCTCATTTGCTTCTCATTATTCACTCTTCACCTTCCTCTGCCTTTGGACTTGCAGAATGATGGTGGAGACATTTAGTACTTATCCTCAAGGACACGCTCGCATGCAGGATTCCCACACTCGGCCAAGGAACTCTCCCACCTCTCCGAGGTCCCTGATGCATGTAGTAATGCAGTACAAGCCAAGAGAAATAACAGATTCAGGAATCATATTCTCTCTTTGGTGTGCTTTCCAGATTAAATCTCCGAGTCTGCAGCATCCTTGCGTTATATTTAGAGAGTATTTTACACACTATGGCGTATGCTAGTCTGGCTCCTGGATACTAATACATTTGCTTTCCATAGAGCTGGGTAAACGGAGCCCCAGCAAGGCTCTGTGTCTGCTGTGTTTTACACAGAGGGTTGGCATGCTCCTGGCTCCAGCCAGCCTCTCTCTACTGCCTCACACGCGGTCCTGCTGGTCTCTGGGCGCCTCCGCAGCGTCAGTCACAGGGCCGTGGTCCTGCATCCCAGTACTCCAGCCCTGCTGTCATTCTGCACGATGCTTTCAAGGAATCATGAAAGATAACGGTGTGTTCACTCAGCCACCTCGAGATGGAAACCTGCTCAGACCAGCAAACTGTTCTTGAATGTCACCAAGGACGCTGAAGGAAGTTCTCTGCACATTCCATGAGCAGATCTGATTAGATTGAGAGGAAGGAAGGGCTAGGGAGGAAGCCTTCCCATCGTCTTTCTCCCCAGCTCACCACGCCTGGCGGGCTCTGATGGAGCCCCTCGGGGCCAAGCCCTGCTGACTCGGGGTGTTCTGTGCTTACCCCCTCGGCAGGATGCGGCCCAGGCATGCAGACTGTCGGTGCCTGCGCCCGCACAGTGATGCAGTGCAGGCGGCTAATGGGTTTTCATTGATTCTCCTGTGGAGGCCAGTGGGAGTGTCATGTAATGTGAAAGAACACGGGAGCCTAGCGTGGCTTACGGCAGGCCCCTGGGGCCAGGGCGTCAGCAGCCTGACAAGGGCATCTGGGAACAGTGATTTAGACATCTTACCACTAGACACATTTGAGGGGAATGGATGTTCCATGAATTCGAATGACTGTCCCAAGGTACACTCTTGATCCTCAGTGTCCCCCCAGATCTATAGTTCGGTGATGAAACATAACATTTACTCTGGTGAGGTAGATGTTCCCCTCATCTCTAAATGGTGGTTCTCAGTCTTAGGAGCCGCAAATGCATCACCCAGGAAACTTATTAAGAATGCAGATTTCTAAGTTCCTTTCTTAGAAGTCCAAAGCGGGGAGGGGTCCCTGGGTGGCTCAGTGGGTTAAGTGTCTGCCTTCGGCTCAGGTCATGATC